TCAAATCTTAAGTTTGTATGATTTTGTATTTCTATTATTAGATTATTTTACTAAGATGTTATATTTTTTATTATGTACAAAATATATTACAAATAAAAAAATGACTAAGCCTTTTCTTGACAACATCTATTCCTATCATGGATTATCCAAAGATATTATATTAGATAAAGGGACTCAATTCATATCAAGATTTTGGAGAACCTTTTTTAAGATTTTAAATGTAGATATAAAGTACTTTTTGACTTTTTATCCTCAAATTGATTGACAAATAAAACAAGTGAATCAAGTTTTAAAGCAGTATTTGAAGAATACCATCAATTATCATCAATATGATTGTACAATTTTTTTACCATTAGCAGAGTTTGCGTATAATAATTTAGTACATTCTTCTATTCAACAAATATCTTTCTTTTCTAATTATGGTTATCATCCATGATTTGATACTTTTGACTTTTTAAAAGTTGATAATTTTGCAACAAAAGTTGACAAATCATTTGTTAAAGTTATATGTAACAATAAAGGCATAGTTAAAGAGAACACAAGAACAAAATAAGATCAATGTAGATGCTTATCATAAGAAACAACTACAATTCAATGTAGATGACAAGATATGATTAGTCCATCGTAATATCAAGATTATGTATCCTTGTGATAAGTTGGACTATCTTAGGCTTACACCTTTTTTCATTTGAGAACAGATTAATCCTATTATTTATCAATTATATCTATTGAAGTTTATGAAGATCCATCATGTATTCTACATGTCTCTTTATGAGCCATATATAATAGTAAAAATCTCAAGAGGAAGATAAATTCCACCTCTTTCTATAGAAGTGGATAATAATTAAAAATTCAAGGTAAAAGAAGTCTTAGATTCAAGTCAATACTAAAATAGGTTGAAATATCTTGTTTATTGGTATAGATACGATATTACTGAATATACATAAGTGTCAATAAAGAATCTTGAAAACGTAGCAAAGAAAATTGAGATTTTTTATTGACAATATTCATCAAAATCAAGATGAAGAATAGAAAATCTTCATAATAAAAAAATAAGAGCTAAAGAAGATAGTATTTTACCTTCTATCCTTGTTTGTAACTTTTGTATAATTGAGATATTAAGAAGATGGAGAAGTAATAACCAATAGATTAAACTCAAGAGTTTTTACTTATTGACTTATTGGACAAGATATTGTGATTGTTACAACGTTTAAGACAATATAATCGAGATAAAGATCCTTAAGAACAACATGTCTTTCCTTGAATAGATGGTAAGATACAATATATTTGGTATCACAACCTTGGAAGAAACTCTTGATGTTTGGTGATTTTATTAGAAGTAGAAACAACTCTTGACTGTGTTTCAAATATTTCATTTGAAGAAATTTACAAAGGTCTTAACTACAATCAAATAATAGAATGGTATTCCTGTCCTAATATGGGACACTATTGATGGTTGAGAGGACCTATCAACCATCTTTAAAGAGAACAAAGATCAGAGTATATGACATATATAATTCACTCTATCTTAGATTTCTTCAACATATGATAACAGCTCCTTATGAAAGTCATTCCTAAAAGAGGAGATAATATTCCAGATATATATATTTATTCTAATATTTATCTATATAATTAAATAGAAGTAGATAAAAATAGATTTATTTCATAATATTTTTAGAGAAGCTTTCTAATAGCTTTATAGATGGTATTTAGATTTTACATGTATTTATAGTTGATTGATAGATTAAAAACTTGGTCAACAAATTAACCACATGTTGATAGCTTGTGAAATAAGCTAATTATATGGCATATATATAGAAAACTTGTCTTAGAAATTAAGATATGTATTTTTGCAAGTCAATATGTTTTGGGGGTCTTATAGGACATTGCTACATAGTTCCTAGTTAAGAATATATATGGAGGTAAGAGTGAAGCCTTTCTAGTCCTTAGTCTTATTTCAAGACTTTCTTGTCTTCTTTTCTTTGGCAATAGCCTTTCTAGTTTAATATTATATCATCTTCACGTGATTTTCTAATCATTTTAAGTAATACAAGAGTATATTGAGATTTTCTTTCTTCTAGATTCATATGTTTGACACTCACATGTAGTGTATATGAGTCTTCTAGAGAAGCCACAAGGCCTTAGTCTTATCCTCCTAACTATATTCAAAGTGCTACAATCCTTACAAAACTTTGTGCCTCCCTTCTTATAAGGATTAGATTAGCTACTAGTCTTCTATTTTCTATTAGTAGAATTAATTTTTTTTCATTTTTGACTACACCATGGTGTTTAAAAATATCCAATTAATATAAAAGTTCTATAGGCCTTCAAATCTTATTCTATTTCTTCATAATGGCACCTGAGGTGTTATATCTTATTCTTACTAAAGTCTTCAAAATTGCTATAAAAATTTCTAAATAATTCTAAAAATATTATAATTTTTTTTTAAAAAAAATTCTTATGATTTTTTATAATTATAATATAAATTTAAAGCTATATTATCCTATTTTAGTTAATTTTTTAAGTAAAAAAATAAATTTACATCAACTATAAATCTTATCTTTTATATAAATAATTAAATAAATAAGAGATTTTTTTAATACTTCTTCTAACTATTAAATAAAATTTATAGTTTTTTTTTTTATATAAATAACACATATAGATAGAAAGTTAATGTAGAATTTAGTTTTAATACTTAAATATTAACACTAAATAATAAGTAAAAATACTAAATCAATTAAGATACTTGCCTCCATTTCTTATTAAGACTCTCTTTTAATGATTTTTTTTCTATTAAGACTCTTATAATTTAAAACTACTATTAAATTCTTATAAATACTTAAATTATCTAATAAGATCTCTAATCTTAATATTTCTATATCTATATGACATGAAATTATTTTTTTAATAAATCTACTAATTGAGATTCATTAGTGAGACTCACATCATGCCATTTTTTTATCAAAAATATCTTACAAAGTGTTCAAGAAAAAATCTTATTTAAGATATATATCACAATAAAAATAATATTTATTCAAAAATTATTTATAATACAAATATATTTTATACATTTAATTATAGTTTTTTTTATAATTGATTTTTTTTGATTGTATGTCATAATAAATTTATACAAAGTTTTTTATTTTTTTATTCTATATATTTTTTCCTATTTTGATTTTTAATTTCTTATTTTTTTTACTAATTCTTTATAATATAGCAAATAATTTTTATAAAAAATATATTTATTTTATTTTTTATTTTTTTAAATATAGCTATTATATTTTTCTTTTAAAAACAACAAAGAATGTATTTTTTATCAAACATATGTTTCTTGAGTGGATCACATAAATTGATGTAAAAGAATTGTTTTAGCCAATTTGCTTGCTTATAAATCATATTTAATAGAAAATAAAAATACATCTTATGTTTTTTTATATATCTTTTGTAAATATTGATGTTTGATTTTGTTCTTAATTTTGATTAAATTTTCATGGCCTAATTAATTATATCATTTATAAACTTGCAACATAGCCTTAATTTTTTAAGAAGTCTTTATTATGTAAAAATAATAAATTAAAACTATAAAAAATTAAAATAAAATTAATTGCTTATTTTTCTATGATGGTAATTAAATGTAAATGCTACAAGATATTTTACTTAGTATTAAGTATTATTAAGCATCCATTTTAAAGATTTGAGAAGACTTTATATATATATATATATATATATATATATATATATTTTGTAAATAATAATAAGATTAAAATTGATTATCTTATTAATAGAAATTATCTTCTTTTTAAGACATTCTTAAAGAGAATTTTGTTTTTCTTTTTCACATCCAAAACTATAAATATATTATATATTCCTTGTATATGTGGATTTGATTATTATTCAATTTAGAAACAATTTAGAAACAATTTAGAAGTGGTTTAAAAAATTTTACAGTAAATTTATTTGTTGGTTATGTATTCCATACTTCCAATTCAATTGTCCAAGTTTTACTTAGAAAAGAAGGTCTTTCTGTCATCAAAAAATATGTTTCAGTTTTGACTTTAGATAATAGGTCTAAGTCACTAATGTAACTAGAATTAACTTATATTTAGTTGTATTTTTTTTGCATTTTGAATCTGCTTACATGTAATAACTTGAATATGGTCATCAACTGTTATTTTCTTTTATTCCACAAGGGTAAAATAATTTCATATATTTGTAGCTCCAATGCCTACCTTCATAGTACATTCTCCTTTGCATGAAAGCAAAAAGCTTTTTAATCTATTTTTTTTGTTTTGATTTATGCAATAAAAAAATAAAAAAAACTAAAAAAAAATAAAACTAAAGGGTAAGGTTGTGCAAGGATTCAGGCAGCCTCATGTTACTAGAGAGAATCGACTTTTACAGCGAACAACACATTCAACAGTACCATCTTGAATCAGAAGGATCCAATATCCAGAAAATAATTGCACCAAGAAAACACTAGTTTCAAAGAAAATCCTTTACAAAGTAAGATCTATTTCCTGGTTTGGAGATGGTGGAATGTGCACTAAAGTCCATTCAAACAGTTGAAAATGTTTAGAAAGACATAAGAATAATAATAAATCATACACACACACAAAAATAATAGTAAATCATACACACACACAAGAGTAGTAGTAAGTCATATACACACAAGAGTAGTAGTAAGTCATATACACAAGAGGGTTTCTCAGGAGAAAGAGCTTCACATACACAAATCTATTGATCTGGTTGTGTCTCGTATCCAAAAAGAGAAAAAGGAGAGGATAAACAGTACTTCTCCACTAGACTCTAAATACTGTACCTATTACATTTAATGATCTCAACACAAACAACTATCAGACAACCTCTGAGGCCAATGTTTCACCACACACATCTTCAAATCTCGCCTATGATTTCACAAGATGATAATAATATTAACACAGTAAATCATTTAGATTACTGTATCCTCACCATCAGTTGCAACCACCACCATCACCACCACCTCAACAGCCACCGCCACCACCACCTCCTCCACCGTCGCCGCCACCACCACCACCTCCGCAGCCAGCTCCTCCTCCTCCTCCTCCGTCACAGGCAGCTCCACCTCCGCCACAGGCACCACCACCACCCGCAACATCTATTCCGCCTCCAGCCCATCCACCACGACGTCGTCGACCCTTGTGCTTACGATCATGATCCGCACACAATGTTATGGACATGAGGACTGCAGCAGCTTCGAAGCCTATCACCGCAGCCACTACTACCAGAGGAAACATGATGGCAACACAAGTTTTGTTCACCTCGCGGCTAGCCTGTCAAAATTGAAGTCACTTTGTCGTGAATGTTGACAGAGCTGAACTGTAATATGGGGCTGCACAGGACTTGAAGAATTGTTCTCTAGTTGCTCCAACTTGATGTCTGCAACTTACAGCACAACTGTTTTTTCCCAGCAACCATAGAAGGATAATCCTACTAGCAAGTGAGTCGTGTGTGTATAAGTGTGTATATATATATATATATACTGGGCCATCAGATAGATTTCTTCCGCTGCAAGCTCCGTGTGAGGCCGCAGACAAGTTTCCACGAACCACCCTTGCCATCAGATATGTATTAGAAAGACACTCCGGAGGAGCGGCTGGGCGATTTCTTTTCTCCATGGTCAAATGTCTTCGCTTGACAAATCCAGCGCTGGAGGTGTCCCGTATTGTCAACTTCACCTTCAAAAATGAACACTGGTGGGTTCCACTTCTGTCCAAATGTTCTGCCGACATTAGTTCAGTGATTCTACAGAACAATCTACCTTCTATAATGCAATATGTCAGTATAACATGTCATGTTATAATGCACATGTCATTAATGCACTTGTCATCAATGCACTTGTCAAAGTCATAAAGTGCTAACAACGTGACAAGAGTCTGGCTGGTTGTTAGATGCTTTTGACCATAACAAGTATGGTTGATAAAGAGATTCAAACAGAAGGTACTAGACAAATTCTAATGCATATTCATGACTTCTCTTACTGCTATATGAATTTATTATTCTAATTACGGTTTACTTACATTCTATTTCAGTGTGTATATATATATATATATATATATACATATTTATTTAATTAATTAATGGTGGGATATTATACATATTATATTACAACATGTTATATTGCATTATAATATGTTATATTGAATTATGATATGTTGTAATACATTATATAATATAGGCTCAAGCTACAAGCACACCCCAAGTTGGTATATGCACACCCAATTGTGTCTATACACAATTTTGACTCGCTTCATGAAGGTAATTACTAAGTAAAAAACCAACATTCACTACATTACTTAGTAATGTAATGGATGTTGGTGGATTAGGTTCATAAAGGTAATTACTAAGTAAAAGTTCTAATGTTAACGGTTTTGGATTTTCTGCAGGCTGGATCACATCGAAGTGAATGTGTTCGTGAGTGTGCTCGTGCTATATTTCTTGACAATGATTGTGGCAATGACCCTGACTAATATATTGACTTCAGAAGACGTTGGATGCACTTGTTTTGTGCTCTCGCGTTGTGATGGAACTTGCTGGTTCGCAGTTGCTACCAGTGATTTCTCCTCGTATTTGTTAGTATACAGTCTTGAAATTTAAATCGAAACTGCAGAAATTTTTAAATGATTTATTCAAAATATAGAGTGTTTGTATGTGGGATTATTAGAAATCCGCTTGTTGTGTTCGCACTCATTTTATGAAATCACGGGACAAGAAATCCTTGGAATGATGTGGCCTGTGAATTATGGGACCCTGGCGACATTAGTCTTGCAGCCCGATTTTTCCAAAGAGTTAAAGCATGTTCCCGTTATGAAGTAGGTGCAGGTCATTTACCCTACCTGAATCTGGCTAAACAACGATAAAGTAAAAACCCGAGTGGAATAGATCGTGATGGTTTGACTTTGGACAAGACAATGCATGACATTCATTGCAAGAAAGCTTTGCTTGAACTTTGTGCAGCTCTTATTCGAGATCCAGGAGGTGAGTTTTGGTGTGGCATACCTCGACCTCTTGATTTTCTTCTTTTACTTCTGTACCAGCAAACATCACATCTTGGTGAATGGCACAAGAAAAACCAACTTTGCTTTGCATTCATGCCATGAACGTATAAGCTGCAGCACTTGGGTTGAAGTGACAAGCAGCTCGAAATGCATTTGTGGCAGAACCCATATTTCCACCTGAAAGCTCTATTTGACCTTGCTGGAACCGATGAGTTGCTGCTGCATATCCAGCATAGCTGCATTTCAGTTTTGGTATGCATACCATGCGTATGGAGAGAAGGAAGGAGACTGGGACGCGCGGAGAATAGAAGAGAGGCGGCGGCAGGACCTGCGCGGACGCAAAGAAGAGGGAGAGGGGACCAGTACCCACCACGCAGGGACAAGGAAAAAGAGATTTGGATGACCCAATTAGAAGTTTTGGATGTGTATAGACACAATGGGGTATGCATATAGCAACTTAGGGTGTGCTTGTAGCCTAAGCCTATATTACATTATAGAATAATATGTTATTGTATTAATACATTATTTTGTACAAGTATATGTAATATCTTACAATATATTAATGTCATGTAACATATGTAATATAATATTATAATAATATGTTCCAATATCATATTTCTTTAATATCATCTAAAATAATTGAATATGCAATATAATATATTTTTAGATTTATAAGGAAATATGTTATAAATTATATAGTTAATAATACATAATATATTTTGATGTGTTTTTATTATAATATATATTATTTTTTATTTCACAATAATATATGGTATAATATTATATATATATATATATATATATATATCAATTCTTTATATTATATAAATATCTATTTAAAGATTCTTCTTTCTTATTAGGTCTATTTAAAAATGTATTTTATATTTAATGAATCTTGTGATTGATTTTGATTATTTTACAAAGTTTCAAAAATTCAAATCACATAAAATATAGAGAACTAAAATTGACATATTGTATTGCAAAAATAATGAAAATAAAAAAATATTTTGATGTCTAAATTATTTTTTAAAAATTCTTTATTTTTGAGAAATATTGAATATTTATGAAAAATATTTTTGATTTGAATCTTTCAAAATGCATCAAGTATAAAATACACTTATGTTCATATAATTAATCTCAAAAAGAATATTTATATACTAATTTATATTTATAATCAATTCTAATAATCATGAATTGTAATTTAAAACATATATTATATACTTTGAAATAGAATAATAGATAAAAAAAAATATGGTTTTTAATATTTTTAACTTTTATTTTTAGCATTATTGTATCTAAAATTTTATTGATTCTTCAAATTTACTATTTAACTACTACCAAAACTTTAAAAAAATATTAAAAAATAATTTACATTAAATGAACAATAAAAAATTAAAAAATATAAAAAAATATAAAAAATTAAAAATTCCTAATACAGTGAGAGTATATATATATATATATATATATATAAATTAAAAAAACCTAAGAAAAAAATTATAATTAATAAAATTATTATTAAAAAATAAAAACATATAATATCAAAAAAAATATAAAGTAAATTTTATTTTATTATAGAATAATAATTATTTTCATAAAAATTTAGGAAAATGATAAATTAATCTACTCTATCTTAACCATCATTGCATCCATACAGCCTCCATCCCTGTTTCCAATTGTTCCATGTTCCCATTTGTTGCTAAGAACAAAGGCAGGGGATTGAGAATGTCAAGATTGGAGGCGACAATTAGAAACAGAGGAACAAAGATAAGGTTAAAAGAATACAATGATGGTTTAAATATGGAGATTGATTTAGTAAAAATTTGGATTGCTTTATCATTTCCTAAAATTTAAAATTAATTTTACAATGGAAATACTAAGATAGATAAGCTAAATTATTAAATAAATTACTATATGTAATAGAATATGGAATCAAACTATATATATGATATAAATTATTCTATATAGAAATTAGATAATAATAAAAAAAAATCTAACAGAAACCAAAATATAATAGTCTTTAAAGATCACAAATTTGTGTCTTTAAAGCATAAGACATGTTTTTTTAAAATATGGTTTGATAATAATTTTACACAAATAATTTTTTAATTGAATTTTTCATAAATTTAGATTTTAAAAAAATATTTATATAAAATTTAAAAAGATTATATATATATATATATATATATATATATATATATTAATTTTTATTATTTCAAAAAGTTTATTATAGATAATAAATAATAAGTTGGTTATGTTATTAAATATAGTTTGGCTATAATATTTATTATTCCTATTATATTATTTTATACAACTAGATTTAGATCAAGAATTATGCATATTAGTTAATAATATTAAAAAAAAAATTATATCAAGAATATATCAAAATAAAGAATAACATAAAAATTTTCTTTTTAATTTAGATATATAGCATGCTTAAAATTAATAATTAATAATTTTTTGAAAATTCAATTTTCTTTTTAATATAAAAAAATTCTATTAATAATATGGTTTAAATTATTTATTCAATAAGTATTAATATCTAATATTAAATTAATTAGATAATCAATTGATTAATAAAAATATTTAGATTACTAATGTATATTACTTAAAACATAAAATAATTTTTTTTAGAATTTTTTAGTTTGAATTCTAATATTTTGGATATAAATAGATCTAAAGTTTAATATTTTAAACTTTTCTTTTAAATTTTATTTTTAATTCAAAGAAAAATTAACAATAATTTTAAATCACTATTTAATGGTTATATCTCTTGTCAAATATTGATTTATAGGTAACAATTCTAAAATATATATTTTTTTATGCCCAAGTTGACAATTTGTGGTTGAAATTTATATTAAGAAGAATTCTACACCAACTATTAGTTTGAGTAGAATTTATCACTCTATTTTATGGCATTTTATTTAAGTAATTTGTTTTAGTTTACAATAATTTAGTTTTAGTAATAAGGATTTTTTTAAAGATTAAATTAGGCTAAGTAGAATTGGACTATTAATATTTGGCTTTAGAAAGGTGTAAAAGAAGATATTTTGAGGTTGATTTGGTGGTTTTAGTGAGATTAAAATAATGACTAATTGATAGAAATTTGAAAGTTTAAAAAACTATCTACATCAAAGTGTATGTTGCATATCATATGGTCTTTTATTCCTACTTGGACAATTGAAGCACCTTAGTACATGCAATAGGATATCTTAATATAAATAAGTGGAATAATTAAAACAAGTAGAATATGTAAAATAGATAGACTAAATAGAATAGTTGAAATATGTAGAACAAATAGCATATGTAGAATAGATAAAATAAGTAGATTTATAAAATCCATTATTCAATAATTGGTAAGCAAATTTTTAGCCATCTTAAAATATAATCTTTATGATTTTTAATTAAAAAATTATAGAAATTAACTCCATAAAATAAAAGATTATTGGATGCAATTAGTAGTACATATTATAGCTTTCAAAGATTATCTATTGCCCAAAAATTACACGTTTTATAATTTTTTCTCATATTTACATATGCTAATTTTCAAAATTAAGTCAATTAGCAAATTAAAAAAATTTAAGAAGCTATATTTAAAAAAAAAAAATGATTGTATTGCCAAA